CGAAAAACACGGGCAGAAGCACGGCCGTGTCCATCCAAAGCACGGCCGTGCCCACCGCGAAACACGGCCGTGTTTCCCCCATTGCACTGGCCGTGTAATTAACACTAGCCAAAGCACGGGCGGGCTGAGGCATTACACGGCCGTGCCCTCGACCGTGCTTTGGCCAGTGATGCCCTTTTAAGCAGATTTTCAGCCAAACAGAAGGGGATTCGAGTTTTTGAGAGAGAGAGAACGATTCCTAGAGAGAGAAAGCGACGAACAAGAGTCTCCAAGTGCCCTAGATTGATCTTCAACACCATTGGAGGCCAGTTTGAGCGTGGAGAAGTGCCGATCAACATCCAGAAGCAGGAATCCATCCTTCACAGTATGAATTCCGCGTCTGATTCTGCTTTTGCTTCTTTCTCCATGGAGTAGTTCTCCCATTCATCTGGGTATGGAGAACCCTAGATTTGTATGTTAGGCTTTGATTGTATGAACCCAAGTATTGATTCTATGATTTGATTATATTCGATTGAGGTTTGAATGATTGAATGACTTGAATCCTGATCAAATTCCTGTTGTTTCTGCTTTGACCTAGAATGAGAATATCTGCCTAGGTTGATAGAGCATCCTTGATTGAAGGTAGGGAGTTGGTGACTTTATTCGAGGAACCAACTCACTATTCTGTACCGGTTTTACTCCGGTAGTGGAGGTTTTGTTCTTAGGGCCTCAATCTGTTTACTCCGGTGGAGGTTAGTCGCCCGCTAGAGACTCAGATTGAGAGGATCTGAAGACATTTAGTCGAGACTTCAGGCTATAACTTTCATAGAAACTGAACTTGGTAATTACAATCCGGCTTAACTACAGTCTAGGGGGAACCATATCCGGGTGACCTCTCTTAACCTGAATACAACAGTTTACTTGCTTTGTTTGTTTGGTAGTTTAGACTTGCATTCCAGTTTCATTGCTAGATAACAAGAATTCACTGATTAGTCATCAAATCTAGGACCCGGGTTGATAACTAAACCCAAACCCGCTACACTACGCTTTAGGAAGTGGTTTCACTTGGCCAATTCCTGGAGTGACAGTAGAAGTGAGTCAAGTTTTTGGCGCCGTTGCCGGGGATGGCTAGGTTGTTGAAGAAAAGTGATTTCTGTTAATTTAGCTTTTCCTTTCGCTTTGTTTGCTTTGTCCCACTTGTGCCTTCACGGGTTTGCTTGCTTGAGTGTGTGCAGGTAGTGCATGACCCGTAGCCAGTCAGGAGGTTTACTGCCGTTGAATCCAGAGATTGACCGCACCTGTCGCCAGCTCAGGAGACAACAGCGAGCTAGACTGGCTACGGAAGAGCGCATAGACGGCCACGTGAGCAATGATTCTGAGGAGGGGTACGAGATGGAGGACTACAATCAACACCAGGGGAATCCTCAGCAGGCTCCCCCGGCGAATCAGGTCCTAGGGAACAACCCCATACCCCAGGATCATGGAGTTCATCACCCACCGCAGCCGGGTCCCACCTTGGAGTACTACTACACTCCTCGGATTGCTGACATCCGCCCGGTCATCCTCTACCCGCCTATTCCAACAAACAACTTCGAGATCAAGCCATGCTGGATTCAGTTCATTACATCCTCTATCCAGTTCCATGGCTTGAAGGATGAGGAGGCCAGGGTGCACCTTTCTCATTTTCTGCAGCTGACGAACGGGTTCAAGCTGAATGGTGTCCCAGATGATGCAATCCGCCTTCATCTCTTCCCCCATTCTCTGGCGGGGAATGCTAAGAGGTGGTTGGAGACCCAGCCCCCATTGTCCATCACCTCTTGGGACGATCTGACTGACAAGTTCGTGCACAGGTACTATCCGGCATCGAAGACTACAGAGATTCAGCGGGAGATCACTCACTTCCGCCAAGAGCCGGATGAGTCACTTCGTGATGCTTGGGAGCGGTACATGGGCTATTTCTGGCAGTGTCCTCATCATGGCTTCAGTGATGCATTCACAGTGGGGAACTTCTACAATGCCCTCTCTCCAGATAGCCAGAGGGTGATTGAGTCTCTATGCCCAGGAGGGGATATTCTTACTAAGACTCCACCCGAGCTGAACCAGATGATCAGTACTTTGGCTTCCAGAGATCATTCTTGGGGACAGGGTAGCCGAGGCCGACAGTCCCGGGACCGTGGTGTGCACGCCATGGAGACCAGATCCGGGCTCGAGCAGCAGGTAGCTGAGCTAGTGCAGACATTGAAGCAGCCCAACAATCTGATTTCGGGCAGAGGTTTGGCTACACCTCCAGTCGCTCAATGTCAGTGGTGCGAGAGCTCCAATCACCTAGTGGAGGACTGCCAGGCTATGAGGGAGTCTACCACACCCCAGGAGCAGTTGGCCTTCATCGCCAATGCGCGGCGCCTTGATCCATACAGTAACACATATAATGAGGGGTGGCGCCAGCATCCCAATTTCGCCTGGAGCAGCAACACCACTAAACCACCTGGTTTCCCAGCACCAGCAGGTGGTTTTCAGCAGCGGCAACCCTTCCAGGCTCGCCAGGGGCCAGACCCACAGCAGCAGCCCTACTAGTCTAGGCAGGGGCAGCCATTCCAGCAGCCCCAGCGCTAGTTTGCCGAGCCAGCAGCAGCTCCGGCCCCAGATGACAGGATGACGAAGCTGGAAAACATTCTAGCTTCATTCATGACTAGCACTCAGGCTGCTATCACGTCACTGGAAGCAGGTCAGCGGAACCAGGGTGCCATTTTGCAGGATCTGCAGACCCAGGTGGGCATCTTGGCCCGCCAAAACACCACCAGGGCACCGGGGACTCTGCCTGCCACCACTGTCCCGAATCCTCGAGATCCTCACCAGCATTAGCAGCTAGATGCCATTTTTACTAGGAGCGGTAAGACCATATCTGCTGATCCTGTCCCGGCCAGACAGGAGGAACCACTAACTGCTTCAGCACTTCCAGCCGACGATGCAGAAGTGCGGGTGGAGAAGGAAGCCCCTGCTCCCAAGCCACAACCAGTGGTTAAGGAGCATGTGCCCCAGCTTCCCTTCCCCACTCGCCTACACAAAGACAAGCTGGAGACTGAGTTTGCCAAGTTCATGGCAATGTTGAAGCAGCTCAACATCAGCATACCGTTCGTGGAGGTACTGTCGAAGATGCCCAAGTATGCCAAGTTCATGAAAGACCTCCTCACCAACAAGAAGAAACTTGGGGATCTCTCGATAGTGTTGCTGAGCGAGGAGTGTTCTTCTATCCTGCAGAACAAGCTGCCCGAAAAGCGCAAGGATCCAGGGAGTTTTACTATCCCTCTTACTATTGGCAGCATGCATGTAGGCAAGTCCTTGGCGGACCTAGGCGCTAGCATAAACGTCATGCCTTATAAATTGTTTAAAAAGCTAGGCCTAGGTGAACTTAGCCCTACTAGGATGAGCATTCAGTTGGCTGATCGTTCCATTGTGCATCCTAGGGGAATCATAGAGGATCTGCTAGTTAATGTTGGTGCATTCACATATCCAGTTGATTTTGTTATTCTTGATATACATGAGGATGTGGATGTGCCTTTGATTCTAGGTAGACCATTTCTTGCCACCGCCAAGGCACTTATTGATGTGCATGATGGTAAACTGATATTGCGTGCTGGGAATGAACAAGCTACTTTTTCTGTGACTGAATTTGATCACTGTGCTATGATTGCTGTCACGCCTGTGCATGCTATGTCTGATCAGGTACACGAGCCTGTCGTGTATCCTTCTGCACCTCTTATTTTGCAGGACCCTCCTATCATTCCTTCGCCGCCACTCCATCCAGCCTCGCCTCCAAACAAAAAGCTCAAGGAGGAGTGGCGGCCGAAACAGCAGGTTGCTAAGCCTGCACGGAAGAAGAGTGGAGACCACTATGAGCTGGTCCCACCTCCGGCACCACGACCACCCTGGCCGTCTGGGTACTCACTCGCCTGCATCTTGCCGGATGGCCAGGTCGAGCTGACCGATGATGGTGGTCGCATCCGTCGGGTGCATGGCCACAACCTGAAGCTGTACCTCAAGAGCGACGTGGATCCGCTCTTGGAGGCACCTGTTCCTGCACCTCCCTGAGTATCCACCATGGGAGTCCAGCTAAAAGACGATAAAGAAGCGGTTGTGGGGAGGCAACCCCACCACGGTTTGACTTTCTTTCTTGTGTTTTGAGTCGGATTGTAACCCGGTTTGGGTTTGGTTTGTTTTCTTTTGTTTTGGATGATGTATTATTGGGATGACCATTGGACCTAACATATTGTGGTTGAGCTCTTTGGTTTCCTTTAGCTGTGCTTGGCTTGACTGGTCCGCTTCCAGCCTCCTGCAGTCTGTGCATACCGGTAACATCGTTCCCCTTTTCCTTCCCTCTTATCCATTGAGGGCAATGTCGATCTTAAGTGTGGGGGGATGTTTATCTTTTGACTGCATTAGATCTGTTTGTGTGCTTGGAGCCTAGTCCACTGTCCAAATTTTTAAATTTGAGGGCTCCAAGTACGTGTTTCCTTGCAATTGCCTGCTCAGTATGCTTTGAATTGACAGTCTTTATAGTAATATGCAACCTAGGTAGGTAGTGTAGCACTATAGAGGATGTTGATGCATTTAAGAAGTCTCATTTCTTCTTCATATTGTGTTGGTTGATTGAGTGAATTAGTGATCATAGGACCCTTGAATTGTGTGGTGTTGTGGATTCTCTACCTGTCATGGAATCTTGTTTCATGTTTTGAGCTTAACAGGTGCTCGAAAATGTGCTTCAAAATAACGTCTCCTGTTCGAATAGGGCGAAAGTGTGTAAGGGGAGACGGGAATTCGTTCCCAATTCCCACCTACTACCTCCAGCCCCCTTACATGTCTTTCCCCCGCACGAGGCTCGAGACATCCGCTCCTGGCATGGCCGGTAAGAGCCGGTTGGGACCCTTGAAAAAAAAAAGAAAAAAATAACAGAAAACAAGCAAAACAGAAAGAAAAGGGGTTCCAACCATCTTCAAGAAGAAAATAGAGCACCTTGAAAAATGTGAGTCCATGATCCTTTATTTTTGAGAATCTCTTTATCCACGATTCATTTGTCCTCTGTTCACTATTTGCTATGATGCTGACTCGATACGAGTGCTCTCGCCGAAGAAGCTATGAGATGACTTGTGCATCGGTTGACCTCGTAAGTTGCTAAATGATCTAGGAAGTCCTCTACCTACGATCTGGGTTGTTTGTTGCTATAGAGGTCTGGAGAGCTACATTAGTTTGAGTTAGGTTTGCTTGGGGACAAGCAAACGGTTAAGTGTGGGGGAATTTGATAACGATGTAATTGCATGTATTTGCACCCCTAATTCTTATCCGTTTAAGAGGCATAGTCGTGTATTTTGGCCTATTTTACGCCGGGTTGTGCTATTTTGTCATATTTCAGGTCCCAGGCGTCAAAGGGAAGGCTAAGCACGAGTTTCGGGGCATTCGGAAGTCATTTCGGTGAGCTGGAGCCAAAACACGGGAAGACCTAAAACAGAACACGGCCGTGTTCTGTGGCCGTGCTTTTACTGCCGAGAGCAAGGTCGAGTAGGGTAAATTGTGGCTAAAAACACGGGCAGAAGCACGGCCGTGTCCATCCAAAGCACGGCCGTGCCCACCGCGAAACACGGCCGTGTTTCCCCCATTGCACTGGTCGTGTAATTAACACTAGCCAAAGCACGGGCGGGCTGAGGCATTACACGGCTGTGCCCTCGACCGTGCTTTGGCCAGTGATGCCCTTTTAAGCAGATTTTCAACCAAACAGAAGGGGATTCGAGTTTTTGAGAGAGAGAACGATTCCTAGAGAGAGAAAGCGACGAACAAGAGTCTCCAAGTGCCCTAGATTGATCTTCAACACCATTGGAGGCCAGTTTGAGCGTGGAGAAGTGCCGATCAACATCCAGAAGCAGGAATCCATCCTTCACAATATGAATTCCGCGTCTGATTCTGCTTTTGCTTCTTTCTCCATGGAGTAGTTCTCCCATTCATCTGGGTATGGAGAACCCTAGATTTGTATGTTAGGCTTTGATTGTATGAACCCAAGTATTGATTCTATGATTTGATTATATTCGATTGAGGTTTGAATGATTGAATGACTTGAATCCTGATCAAATTCCTGTTGTTTCTGCTTTGACCTAGAATGAGAATATCTGCCTAGGTTGATAGAGCATCCTTGATTGAAGGTAGGGAGTTGGTGACTTTATTCGAGGAACCAACTCACTATTCTGTACCGGTTTTACTCCGGTAGTGGAGGTTTTGTTCTTAGGGCCTCAATCTGTTTACTCCGGTGGAGGTTAGTCGCCCGCTAGAGACTCAGATTGAGAGGGTCTGAAGACCTTTAGTCGAGACTTCAGGCTGTTTAAGAACCTTCCGGAGTATAACTTTCATAGAAACTGAACTTGGTAATTACAATCCGGCTTAACTGCAGTCTAGGGGGAACCATATCCGGGTGACCTCTCTTAACCTGAATACAACAGTTTACTTGCTTTGTTTGTTTGGTAGTTTAGACTTGCATTCCAGTTTCATTGCTAGATAACAAGAATTCACTGAGTAGTCATCAAATCTAGGACCCGGGTTGATAATTAAACCCAAACCCGCTATACTACGCTTTAGGAAGTGGTTTCACTTGGCCAATTCCTGGAGTGACAGTAGAAGTGAGTCAAGGATCTTTATTGGCAAGTGGAACCAACACTTGAAGTAAGCCAAAAGAGCGTAATCCAGAACTAGAAGATTCATAGGAAGATGGTGGTTCATTTCTCCTGCAGTAGTATATTCTGGATATTTGGTTGATTAGTTCTCCTGCCAGTACTCTAGTTTTGTTTCCCTTTTCATTTTCGTTGAGAACCAAAACAATACCCTTGAATTGTTTGAATTGTCTACTTGTCTTGTTCCCTTTTCATGTTCGTTGAGAACCAAAACAATACACTTGTTATTGGGTTAAAATTTTGTTATTGAACCTATTTGTTGGATCCAACATGGTTAGGTTTGCTCCGATGAACGCATACATCTCCGGCATCCTCCGGTGGCAAGATATGAGATATCCAAAGGCCAAAGCAAAGAATTGGCGCGTTTTTTGGGCCGAAATAAAGATAACAAAAAATCCCACTGACCAGGAGAAAGGTCAAAGTCGTCTTCTTCTATAAAATCCCAGTCCCTTCAATCCCATAATGAAATCACGGCAGTTAAGGCTCAAGCCTAGGCGCCTTCTTTAAGCCTGATCTCAGCTGAACAAGCATCAGGAACAAAGCCACAAAAACGTGAACCAACATTCGGATTTAAGAAAAAATAAGGGCTAATACCACTAGGAAACCCGAACTATTAACTTTGTGCCATTTGTGTCCTAAAGTATTCGATATGACATTTGTGTCCTAAACTATTTTTTCGTTAGAGTTGACTGGCGTTGACCGTTAGTTGTTAACAGAAAGTCTAGTCAGCACTGATGTGGCATCTGACGTGGAAATTTTATTATTATCTTTTAATTTTCCCTTTTGATTAAAAAATAATTAAAATGAGTAAATTGGAAATTGAAACCTCCGCCACCACCAAAACCCTCCTCCTATGCGAATCCTTTCCTTTGCTTCCCGAGCCGCCGGAAACTCCGGTCAGCTCTCCCCTTCTTTTTCAAAAGATTCCGCCACTAGAACAATTGTCGCTTCCTCACCTCTACTCCTCTTATCGCATCCCTAATCGGTTGCCACATCCCACCTAATCGAGTCCTCCTCTTCCTGTCACTCCAATCGAGGCGATTCTTATTCCGTCTCTGGGCGATTCTACCTAAGGTAGAGAGGAGGGGTGATGAATGGTGAAGATATGCGAGTTTCATAGCACAATCGATCCTATAGATCTTGATCCCGCATCCTCTCGAATCGCTGCATCACGAGGTGGAGCTCGCCGTCGTCATCGTCCAGAAAGCTCGCGATGTGACAGAGGATTCCGCCATGGATTCCGTCGGAGGTTTGATGCAAGTTCTTTTCTCGTCTCTGTGAAATTCGGATTTTGGTTTATGACGAGAGAGGGACTCCGATCTGGTAATGCTTTCTCTCATGTTATGCTCTTGCTCTGGATATGAACGCAAGAGAAATCCAAGCTTCTGCTAAGGTAGAAATGAAGAAGGTAGGGGAGTGAGTCAATTTTACAAAGAAAAAGGAAAGAGTGGTTGCGGAGCTCGGCCGACCAGAAAAACCAGAGAGCGGCAGGGGATGCCGGAATTGGATGTCGCCTAGTCGTCGGCATGTCTTTTCCCTCTCCTGATCCATCTCTGCGCTTTCTCATACCCTTCATCGTTGGCGATTCCGGTGCCCCATCCTATTCATCCTTCTTCTCGATTACGATGGTTGGTATTTTTGTGATTTGGGTTTGTAATTGGATGAATGAGGATCGGCAGTGGAGAAGCTGAAGGGCAGAGGGAGTAGGAGGCGGTGGGGGGAGTTTTCCTTTAATTTTTTATTTTAATTTTTAGAAACAATATTAATTAATTGAATTTACATTTATTTAATTTTTATAATAACATAATTTATTTAATTTTTAATTAAAAATATGAGGTGTCATTAACGTGGCATCTACGTGGCTGCCACGTCAACAAAAGTCAATGTTAATGTTGACTTCCATTTGGTCAACCGTTATTTATAACGGTCAACGAAATCGTCAGGACATAAATGACACACAACTATCATACGTTGTGACACAAATGTCATATCGGATACTTTAGGACACAAATGACACAAAGTTAATAGTTCGGGTTTCCCAGTGGTATTTACCCAAAAAATAAAGGTAAATACCAAAACCAATCTAAAATGAATTCAGTTGGGATCAAAGTGATAGTAAAACCGACCGACTACCAATAAAAGTATAAAACCGACCGACTACCAATAAAACAAAAACAACTACTTTTCTAAAATGAATCAAATAAACTCTTTTGGCATTTTGAGCTGATTTTCCCCTTGAAATGTCTTTCATAAACGACCCTTGCTTCATCAATAATTTGAGAGCGCCTTGTATTTGAGAGATCTTTGACTAAACTTATGGCCAAGGATAGTCGACCCCTATTACTACAAACCTGCAGCAAATTTAGAACATTACTCTTAACATGTTGATTTCGATTTGATAGTGTAGAATCTCACGTGGATGGAATCATATTTAGAAGGAAAGGATTGCATTATACCGTCGTATACGAATTATTATCAGCCTCTCCGTGCAACATCCACTGACAGACGTAAAACCCGCACTCATAGATACGTGGAAAAATAGCATTTATTATTAAAAATAAGATTGTGAATCGAAATGAAATAATCAAAATACTCAAAGAAATACTAACTCATCAATTTGCTTAGAAACGTATGGAGGACTTATGATTTGGAACTTATGCACTTTGGACACTTCAAAGGTTGATGGCTTGTCTGGAAATTCTTGAAACATCTTGTAAAAGAATTTCAACTGTAACAACAAACTTAACCACGTAACTATTACAGTACAAAAAAAGAAAAAGAAAATTGACTTACTAAATTTAAACGAAGGGAATAGTTTGATCACCCACAATTCCTTGCACCCTTTTTCTACGATTTTCCAGCAAACCCAAATCAATAGGCAAAGAGTCCACTACATGCACTACCTTTCGGTCCATGAAAACCAAAATAAGAAACCAATGGCGGTTCTCATCATTCATTGGCAAATATATATGAAATAAATAAACAAGTAAATTATGACGAAAGAATGAATGGACTATATAGTAAAGGGCAAAACATTAAGAGAATATAGTACCCTGAAAAAATTACTAATATTATTACACCATACCTTGGTGCATTCAAAGGTGCCGCAAAGATATAGGTTCTTATAATTTTCCACCGCTTTTTTTGGAGTCCAACCCATTTTCACAACCAAATCCTGGGTAGCAGTTCACATTCACTATTCAACTTTGGGAGAAAGAAAAAAGTAAACTTACTGTAAAGAGCTTTCCATAATTGTTGCTCACCTCAAAATTGGATGGAAGGTACCAAGGTCCCTTTTTCCCCCCAAGCCCTAACATCAACAGCTAATTGACAAGCTACAACAGTCAAAATCTAAAATAAATAAACCCAAGATTAGTATAGCTAATATGTGGTCAAGTATGCCTTACCAAAACAGAACTACAAAATACTTACATAACCATGAAGCCACATTTCTGGCAGCAAGTCCTTCAGTTCTAGACGACTTAAACTATGGCCAAAATTCTCAACAAGCCATTTATCATCTTGTAGACCATCACCAAAGATGAAACATGCAATGGAACGATCCTCATCATTATCTAACGCCATTATTGCAGTCATCGGAAATTCCACCTACATGCACTAAGGGAATAGTTTGATCACCCAATTACGTGGAAAAATAGCTACGTGGAAAAATAGCTATGTTTCTAAGCAAATTGCAGTCATCAGAAATTCCACCTACGATTAGAATTTACCAAAACTTACAATACATAGGTACATCATAAACATTTTGAAAATCACACAGGTGTAATTTCTTTAAATAAATTCTATATACCTTCCCCGACACATTTATATATTCCACAGCCGCATTTTTTGGCCTCTTGTGTGAATCATCGCCATCTGCGTCTGAGTCGGAATCTATATAAATAAGTCCGTTTACGCTAGGTGTGACAGGAACAACAGTGGGAGCTAAACTTCCAGATGTAGTCACCGAAAATTCCACCTACGATTTGAATTTAACAAAAATTACAATACATAGGTACATCATAAACACTTTAAAATGACACAAGTGCAAATTGTTTAAATAAATTCTATATACCTTCACCGACTCATTTAAATCTTCCATGATCGCATATTTTTGCCTCTTGTGTGAACCATCGCCATCATGATCTGAGTCTGGGTTTGAATCAATATAATAAACTCTTTTTACGGTAGGCGTGACATGAACATCAGTGGGAGGTGAACTTCCAGATGCTTGATTAAGAATGCGTTTCGAAATCCTCTTTAGCACTTGAAATTCAGTATCAGTTTTCATCATAATTGCAGTCAAAGATTTAATCTTATCGTACAACTCAGTGAACGTCGTCTCCATGGCTCGAAAGGTAGTCGATATGGATCCAACAACTTCCTTAGTATCATGGCTCGACATACTAAACAACAAATTTTGCCCACGTAAAACAATAAATAACTAAGGACTTACATAATTGTAGGGAATTAAAGGAGCATCAAGTCATAAACAAACAAAAATCAAAGCGACTTAAGGAGCGAATAAAGACAGCGCATACATGAAAGGAAAAAGGTTTTAAGAAAGGAACAATACAAACGACCAAAAGAAAGAGCTATTTTAGTTGCTGCACTGTACCGAGATTTCTCCATTGCAATGAGTTTATCTCCCCGCCAACACAAAAGAAAAGCCTTACTTTTGCTAAAGTCACCAGGGAGGACGGAAGGAGTTATTTTTTACAAGGTAAACTCTAGGCTTGGCGCCCCTTTATATAGACCGCCAAACAAACCTAATTTATTAATACCATTACGTCCAAAAAAAGAATTCCTCTATTGACACCTAAACTGATCCAACTAAGGAAAGCAAGCCTATTAACAAGGAGTACAGATTAAATCCTCACCAATGACAAGCCTATTTACAAGCATATTCCTCTATTGCTTTTGGCTTCACCACCGAACGAGGGAGGCCATCTCCACTGGCTATAAAGAACACCTGAAGAATGAAAATGAATTTATCAGTAGTCAACCTAGTACTGTTTCTTTCTTGACCAAAATTTTTTTCAGCCAACACTATTTATGAACCGAACACAGACGTAATTACACATATCACATATGCATTGGAGAGAGAGAGAGAGAGAGAGAGAGAGGAAACGATAGACCTTCAAGATATCGAAGTCTTCTTCCATCATATCAATATCTGAATCAGAGAATGCACGAGAGGGGCCTCAGTTAAGCAACACCCAAACATATCCCTACTGTAGCAAAATAACGTGTACAAATTATATACAAGCTATAATGGAAGGTTTGCGAATTCAAAGTACAAAAGAGAATTTGAAGACCTACCAACGATGCTCGGAAAATGCTTAACAACACCGAGTCTCTGAATTTATCATCAATCAATCGGCATATCTCATCAAGAACCTGAAAATTATATGCAAGTTCAGCTAAGAGAAGCAAGCAAGACAAACAAAGAGGAGGCTCCACTGAAGTTGATAGTCTTACATTATCTGCTTGAGGAAGGAAATTTCCCAAGCGAGAAGATCCAACATCACCAATTTGTAAAAACCAAACAAGAATCTCTCTCTGAGATCCAAAAGATTACTCTAGCACCTGCCAAGTGACATTCGAAAAGAAAGACACCAGGGAGGTCAGTTCTACAAAAAGAAGGCAGAATGAGAGAATACATACAAGATTGATAATAATAAAAACTTGATTGAAAGCTAGCAACTAACTTAAGCCATCACATTATTTAGAGTTGTGTAAGTGGTTAATTAGAAATTGTAAAGAAAAGGTTTTATTAGATGAATGATGTATGCTAATATCTCTTTAAATCTTGAGAAGCAGAAGACAGTTCTTTCAATAATGGTTCATTATAGAGATATCAAGCATTCTCCAAAGGCAGTTCTTTCAATAACGGTTCCAGTTGTTAAAAAGTCATTCAAACACCAATCTTTCACAAAAGTCAACCATGCTCTGAGCCTCGAAAGACGCTGAATTATCACAGATTCTGTATAGCTAGTTAACGGAGGAATGGGCGGGATATAGATTATTCCTCGGAACTGCCAATGCAACACGAGAGCAAAACAACTATGACTTAAACTATGTAAGATACAAAGGGAAAGTAGTCTAATCAACATTGGCAGAGTTCAACTCCTTTTCCTGTCCAGTTAGTGGTCAAGTAGCATACTAAAACAAATTGACTGTTCTATCAGGTGTAGCATAATACATAACTGACTCAACAGTTTCCGCAGAGAGGAATCCAGGCTGTGAAAAATTATAGACAGCAGCGCCTGCAGATGTGTAATACCCAAATGACTCAACTATTGATGCCGCTTGCCTCTTCTGCAGGGACAAAGGTTCCCAGTCCTGCACAAACAACAGGAAACACAAAGGTTCCCAGTCTTGCATACCCTAGCAACTATTTTCAAGTTCATATGTTTCGCAAATTACCCTACCGTGGTTGTTCATATTTAATTCAGTGCGTTTAACAATGGCATAGTACATCTTTAAGTGATCAAGGTGAATCTGATTGAGGCTTGCACTAGAAATCATCCACCGCAATTACGGACTAACCTCAAGTTCAAAAGAACGACCAGTCCATCCCAAAATGTGATCATGCTGAGAAATCACCCAGTCAATAAAAAAGGGTTTAGAAACTTCTGCAATCTGCACATGGGGAAAGTGAGACAGTGAATCTCAATGTGTTATTGCTACCAATGAAATCAAACATCCCATAAACATCCAAAGACAAATTTCAAACAAAAATTTGACCTAGTACAACTTCTACTTCTGCAATTTCAAGTAAGGCCCATTATTCATACCTATCAAAGTTTATGCCATCAGTCTCGTTCGTCTGCTCTGGCTGCTGCTGTTGGCATTCGCACTTTCTGTTGGCCATCAACGGCAGCGTACC